CCCCAGCGTCTCCTCCGCAACGGATCCAGCCTCAGCGTACACCTTCTGAGCCCAGTCTGATTTAATCCTCATGGTCTTAATCAACCAGCCCAACGAGATGGTCATAAAAGGCATGACACAAGCCATGACGAGCGTAATATCCCAGCCTCTTACAAAGCCGATGACAAAGCCCACAACGAATTGCACAGTGAACCGGAACGAGTCTCCGAGTTTCTGACCCATCCCGTCCTTAATCTTGACCGTGTCGCCCGTCAAGCGACTTGACAGTTGCAGAGCGTCGTTCTCATCGTACCAACTAATGTCCAAATACAGCATGTGCTTGAGTGCCTCGCTCCTCAGAGCTTTCATCTGTCTCTCGGCACTGTAATAGAACGTCACGTAGCTCAGATAGTCTGTAAAGAACATGGCTACAGCGATGAGGAAGAAGTCTAGCGCTGCCTTGTTCACTGTATCCATATCCACGGGGATGCTGCTGAAGCCCGTAAGAACGTCACCGAAGACGATGGCCATGAGCGGGAAGAGTGCACCATTGGCCCCCGCTGTAATGACGCCCACTACTAGCAGCACTTTGTCCAGTGGAGTGGCGTAGCGGTACAAGTGCGTGAACTTGAAGCTCGTGGGGCCGCCGTGCACGATCTGGCGGCGCAGACTCGGCTCCTTCTTGGACGCGGAGAGGTCGGACTCGCTGCTGGTTGCAGGCTTGTGCCGAGGCGTCTCAACGCGCTGATAAGCGTCGTCTACCGGGGACTTGGCCGGACTTGGCATGACGCTTGAGGATCTGGTGGCAAGTTGAACAATGAGTGCAATGACTGAAAAGGTGAATGACCATCATTCTGAATGGATGCACGTTTTGGACGTTTTATGGTTGGAACTGTGATGATGCATGCGTTTAAGGTTATTAGAATGGATAGAGAGTCAAGCCTGGAGAAGCTGATAAAGGGGTCGGTTGTGTGCGTTGGAGGCGACGTGGTTGACAGCAACGCCGCTGGTTGTCACCGTTGGTTGTCTGGATCATGAGATGGGGGCGGGTGCGACTGGCAACTCGCACCGAGACTTGAGCATGAGCGATTTGAAATGTTTTTTTTTTTCAAAGTTTTTGAAAGGCAATCTTTTATGTCAAGACGTTAGCATATACTATCATGTTAGAGAGGTTTCAAGCTTGGCAATCGTGCCACTTTCCTGGTGTTGGCAGTAAAGCCGTTAGCGAACAACATTTGCAGGGGTCCTTTAGCCACAGGTTGACGTTTCTTGTTGCTCTATGAGAGAGCTGCCGTTGTACAGTGCTAGCGTCAGCTTTCACCAGTATAATCGTGTGCTGCTGAGCGTATGTACCAGTAGTACCGTTTTGGCGTCAACTATCGTCAGTGTAATCACAAGATATGTGTTCTCGAAGGATTTGAATGGCATACTGAAAGTAAGAAAAAAGTGCTATGCCCCTTCAATATAGCTTCTGACAGTTACATATCCACATACATTCTGATGGTTGCGACGCTGATGAGTGGTTGACAACCACACAGCAACGCGGTAACCAGTGGTTGCACCTTTGTATTTTTGCATTCTACTGTATGCAGTCGTCGTTGACATTCGCACGTGCGGGACCGTCATTCCGGCATGGAGCGTTTACAATTGGGAGTCGACTTGTCAACGGGGTACAATAGAGACTACATAGCTGCATCCAACGAACAACAAACCAGTTGCCAAACCCATTTCTAAAGCGCGGATCCTCAGAGTGTTGTTAACACGAAGGCCATACATCGATACAGAACAGCAATGCCGTATTCATGATTGCAAAGTAACAATGAGTTCATCAGCCCTGGGCCATGGCTGGTCATGTACCTCGGCTGTGTGCATCTGGGGCCTAAAACCTACTTCTTGAGGTTTTCATGCTGTTCGACAGGTCCTCTCAAAACACAGTTTTTATCCGCATGTACTTACATCGGACCATGAGCACCGCTCTGCGCGTCGTGTCGCTCCTGCCTTCGGCCACCGAGAACGTCTGCGCGCTGCTCTCCGCTTGTCGTGGTCATGCATCTACCGTGGATTCCTCCATCCCCATCCCGGAGCTCGTAGGACGCTCGCATGAGTGCGACTTCCCACGTGACGCATTAGATCTTCCCGTGCTCACGGCCGCGCGCACGGCCTTCACGAGCTCCGTCGATACGCACAACCAGGTACGGGAAGCGCTAGCCAGTGCTGCATCGCTCTACCATCTGGATGCCGACAAGCTCGCGGCCTTGCAGCCCGACGTGATCCTCACCCAGAGCACGTGCAAGGTCTGCTCCATCGACCTGGCCAGTGTCCAAGAGGCGGTGGACGAAAGTGTCCACAAGAGGACACTGGTTGACCAATTGGTGCAGTCAAATTGTGTGTCAAGTGAATCTGGTAAGCAGGAATTAACGTCAACATCGAAGCACTTAACAACGATTGTCACATGCAACCCTACGACGCTTGTGGACGCTGTAGTGACGCAGTTTCGACAGCTGGGGGACGCTCTAGGCGTGCCTCAAGTGGGGGAATCAATGGCACAAGAGCATTTTAACAAGCTGCAGCAACTTGAGCATCAGGCAGAGGCTTTCGTGGCCAAGGGAGACAAGCCAAAGGTGTTGATGGTCGAGTGGTTGGACCCTTTGTTCTTGGGCACCAAAGGCTGGATGAGAGAGATCGTTGAAGCTGCAGGTGGACAGGTGGTGGACACATTGGAGGGAGGGCAACACGTAGATGTAGTGGTAATAGCGCTGTGTGGACTCACGCTGGACAAGACGGAGCAGGAGCTGCAGGAAGGGCGAGTCGGAGACTGGTGGAAGACGCTTTTGGATCAATCTGGTGATGCCAATCCTACAGTATACATTGTGGACGGTACGTCCATGTTCACGCGACCTACAGGACGTCTACTTGATGCACTGGAGTGGCTGGTGCACGCCTTGCATGAGCCTGAGAGTAGTTGGTTGAAGAGCTCGACGTTCCCATACAAGCGCTTCGATACGTCGTTGGTGGCTACTGGTTCTAACGCAAAGGAGAAGAAATCAGCAGAAATGCTGGAGATTGAGGAGCTACATCGAGCCGCATGTGCGAACAAACAGGCCATGTACACAGATCCAGCAACAGGCTACTCTGTTATGACTGCGTACATTTTGAAAGAACGCCAGGTTTGCTGTGGGAATGGCTGTCGTCACTGTCCCTATGGCCATGCGAATGTCAAGGATCCGTCCCGTAGGAAGAACACACTGACCGGGACTGTTTACTTGCAACCGCGTCGTCGCTCCCGTGGCTTCGCGAAAGATTCACCCGGTGGTCAAATGCTCTGGCCGGAGGGTTTTAACGTTTCTGAGGGACCGAGTGAGCTCGTCGTGGTTTTCTGGAGCGGAGGAAAGGACTCGTTCCTTGCGTTAAGTGCGTTGTATGAGACTTATGCTGCCGAGCAGAAGCCCATGCCTCGTGTGGTGCTCCTTACGACGATCGACCCGAAGACGAATGTGGTACCTATCCAGAATATCTCATCGCAGACT